GGGAGAGCCTCGTGTCTGAACTCACTTCTCCCTCCCTCTCTCTCTCTCTGCTTCACTCTCGGGGTCGCTTGGGCTTTCTCATATTTACTCGGCCCGTCCCTTCGTCCCTCGCGCTCCCCGGTGCCGACTCCCTACTAGAGGATCGCGCGCCGATCCCGTCTCCCCTACTCCCGCCGCCGACGGCCCTCGGTGCGCGTTCGATACACGGAATCGCCTCGTGGTTCTCGGAAGGCAGTAGACTGTCGCCAACCACGCCAGACGGCGCACCGCTCGCACGCTCTCTTTCTTTCTCTCTCTCTCCCTCTCTCTCTCTCTCTTTCTCGTTGCGTACTCGCCTACTGGCTCACCCACGGGGCCGCCTCGCCCTCCGTCCCTCTCCGCGTACCACCTCTCTCACTCTCTCTCTTCCTCCTCCCCGTCCTCTTCTGCTCTCCCCTCCCCGCCCCGCCACTACTCCGTACACTCTGTCTCGCGGCGCGGCTGCGGAGCCAGCCAGCTACACGGGGCCCGCCAGTTACGCAACAATAACAACGCCGTGAGGAGGTGCGTAGCGTCGTGCGGCGCGCGACACCGCAACGCGACACCCGTGAATCGTGTGTAGTGTAGTGTGCGTCCGGACCCGTTCGCGTCCGCACGCGGGCGATCACTTGTTGACAGCGACGCGGGTGTGGGGCAGAGCGACCGGCGCGGGGGGGAAGAGAACGCGAGGCGATCGTCTCGTCGAGAGGAAAAAAAAATCGACTTTCGCGCGCGAATTCCGACTCCGCGCGCGCGCGCGGGGCGACGGCGGGGAGCGGTGACTCGGGAGAGAATCCGTCGCGGGCGAATCTTGAGTGCGAGAGAGTGTGGAGAGATCTCCGGAGGATCTGGCGATCGATCCATCGATCCGGGATCGAGAGCGAGAAAGCGTGACTCGGACGCCGGCTGGCACGCGGGAAACGCGTGAAGCGACTTCCGTCGAGTGCCGGGAAATACGAAAAAGAAAAAAATCGAGCGAGTCGCTCTCGGATGGAGAACGCGCTGGAGGTGTCGATCGGCGCGGTGGATCATCGGTGAGGAGCGTCGAGTCGATGAATGGAGCGACAGTGACGGCGACAGGCGCGCCGATCGATCGTGGATCACCGCGAATCGGCTGGAAGAGCCTCGAGATCGAGCGAGTCGATAGATCGTAACCGGTGCGCGATCCCCGCGAGCAAACGAGGTCGCCTTGCCGCGCGCCGATAGATCGGCCGGAGAACCCGCTACCGATTTCTCGGAGCAGGGAGACCCCGAGAGAGAGCGAGAGAGAAGGAGAGGAGGAGGAAAAGGCGCGAGACGCGCGAGCGACTCACGGCGACGCGTTTAGGCGCCAATGACGTCACCGTGCGAGTGAGACCGCCGCCGGGGGAATTCGCGGTCGGAGTTTCTCGCCGCGCGCTTACGCGTCCCCCGACACGAGGCGGACGCGGGGCGACGCGGCGCGACGCGACGCAACGCTCGGCAGTGCCGCGTTCGCCGGCGATGGTAGCAGCGGCGGTGGTAGTAGTGGTGACCGCGCGGTAGTAGCGGTGGTTCGCTCCACGTCGTCGTCGCCGTCGCCGTCGCCGTACCTCGCGCAAGCTGGAGGGGGGGCGGGTAGCAAGGATACCCCCGTGGAATCCGCGGTGCGCGCGGGTGGCCGGTCACACTTGTCGCGCACGTATGTCGCTCGTCGGCGGGCAATGACTAACCGCGCGCGGCCTCGCGCTTTAACGAGAGATATCGTATCCGCCGACTCCCGGCCCGCCGATTCGGGGCTATCGCCGTCGTCGTTATCGTCGTCAGCGCCGGTCAGACGGGATTTGCATAGCAAACAGATTGACGCGCTCGTAGTAAGTGGATAACGAGAGGCGAGAGATCGCGCGCGCGCGCGCGTACGCCGTATATAGCGCGGGAGATCTCGCCGGGCCCGCTTGCGTACGCGGGTGTGAGTGCGTGAATATCGCTCGGTGCGTGCGTGCGTGCGTGCGTGCGTACGACTGGCTCGTGGTGCCAGCAGGAGGGAGGCGAGAAAGAGATAGAGGATACGACGGACGAGGCAAGTGCGGAGCTTAAAATAGAAGAGTGACTTGGGCTTAAGTACGTGGCGGGAGGACGGAGCGAGTAAAACGAAATCGGAGAGGAGAAGGGTGGATGTTGTGCGCTCGCTCTTTTCCCCACCTCCGCGTTTCTGTGATACGTTCGAATTTTACGTTTCTCCGTGGGTGAAAGAGGGAACGACACGGGAGAGGACGACGGGAGTGCGCGTACACGCGCGCGTACACGCAAAATATATAAATATCTCGCGGTGGAGTGCGTGCTTCTTCTGTGATAATTCCTGTAGTGCGTATAAATATCGTAGTGGTGGTGGTTTTCTCACCTTTTCCGTCGTTTTCGGAAAAGAGGAGAGGGAGGGAGATCCTCTCTCGGCGCGGAGAGCCAGAGAGATCGCGGCCTCCGTGCGCGCTCCTCGCCCCGTCGGAAAAGGAGGCGTCGGCTCGCTCTCTGTCCCACGCGATGGATCGTGACTCGCGTTCGTATTTCTGCGGAGGCTGCGAGAGGACCGCCGCCGAGGGCCGAGCTATGCCGATGGAGTAACAAGTGAGCGGCGAAGCGGCGTTGCCATGACGACAGGTGAACCATGAGTCTCTCTCTCTCTCTCTCTCTCTTCTCTCTCTCTTTCCCCGTAGTCCTCTCCCTCTTTGTCCCTCTCTCTTCCACGCGGCCCCTCGCTGCCAGTCCCCTGCTCTCCCTCCCTCTCTCTCTCTCTCTTTCTCTTGTCCCACCGTCACTCTCGCGCGGCATGTTTGTTGTCCCTCTTTTCCTCTGACCCCGTATACTCGCGAGATATGATGCGACAACAGTGCCTCTGTCTC